GGGGGGGGGGCGGGACGAGCCCCGCAGGAGCCCCCGGACGCGGCCCGGACAAGCAGAACCCCATTTCCATTTCAAAATTCGTCCGTGCAGCGGCCCGTGCAGTGATGAAGGGCTTAGAGCTGCATCTTGGCGAGGAGAACTGGAGCCCTGGCTGATGAGCAGCTGGGGCGTCCTCCAGGTCCCAGTCGCACAGGGGAATCCATCGAGCACCTACCCCTGCATTCTCTTTCTGATCAAAAACCACAGCCAATTCTAGTAACATTCCAGATACTATTCCAGCAAAACTGGACATCCACATTACTAAAACCAACTCTTGTAAATAATCTAAGTTACTTTTTACATGGAGATCAGCTGGAACTAAGCTGGCAAGCTTCAGTCTCCATTGGAGGCCACTTTATAGCTCTGACAAACTGATTGGGGAATGGTAAACATCATCCCACATAGTGTTTTTGCACTACTGACCTTCAAAGATTATTAAAAAACCTTAATCGCAAATCCAATTTAAATTTAATATAAGTCTAAGTAAAGTTAAAAATACCCAACAACACAATTCTTCAAACTGCATTGACACCGATCACTGCTATTTAAACCTCTTCTGGGCTACACACATTCAATGTCCTCTCCAGCTGTGACAACACAGGGATGCAGTTTCAGTTCAGCTCCAGGAGCCCCAGATCATTTCACTGACACAGACAGAACAGGGGGAACTGGCGACTCCAGGGAGAGGCAAGAGCTGCCTGTGTGAGAGGTGTCAAGGCTGATGGGTGCCCATGAAACCTCCAGCTCCCCCAGCTGGGGCTGCCTGCAGGTGGCACGAGCAGGAGCAATCAGTTTCCAAGCGGCAGAGGAATGAAAAAAGCTTTTTTTCCCCCTGAAAGAAAGACAGCTCTCAATTACAGTGGACCTGAAACAAGGATTGCAACATAGCACCAGCTGTGAGCTTGTAACTCATACTTTGCCAGCTGATGGATGAGAAAGCCAAAAGGGGATGAGTTGGAGAAACCCCCAACATGAGCTGGCCCACAATTTGCTGATCATATGGAGTTTATGCACAGAATTCTGCTGTGCTGGATTCTGCCACTGCATTTTGCTTTTACCACCAGATGCCTCTAAGGACATCTGCTAATCTGTTCAGAGAAATCTCAAAGCAAAACTATAATGGGGCACAAGAGGGGGGGGAAAACTGAAAGACATGCCAAATGGAGGCTCACTCTTCGTACCAGGCATCCTGAAACGACTTACAGGTGTCTGAGATAACATTCACACAGAATTTTCATGTATTATCACTATTCATTTTGCTCAAATATCCTGCAAGGTTGCACTCATACAACAGCACCACACGATGACCCTTCTGGTTCAGACAACCAGTCAGGACACTGGCAACAGTCAGAGTATTGCAGGTCTATTAGGATGTTTCAGTGGAGACCTTACAGCCTTCCCCATGCTCCCTGACTTTGCTCACACCTCTAAGACAAGCTGCTCCATCTCCTAGCCGGGAAGGAGAGAGGAGTCATCTTGCTGAAGGCCATGAACAGTCTACTCAGCCCTTCTAGGCTTGCCTGCTTCCTTCTCAAGGATCATCAACAGTGACTGTCCAGACAGGACAATCAGGAGCTCCTGATTGTCCCAGCATGAAAGCAGGTGATAAATACATCAGAACCAAACCAAAAACCCAAAACCATGAAAACTGAAGTCAATCTGATGAATTAGTTATTTACAATCTCAACTCAGTTGGAGATGCTGAAAAAGCCCAATCTCTTAGAGCATCTACAATGAGCATTTACCTTTCATGGATATTAAGGTATGTTAATTTTAGTCTCTTAATTAGTTCACAGACCAGAACAAGTTAATGGTGTTTCCATAAAGCTCTCAGAGCTGTATGCCACCCGGCAAGGATATCTTTTCATCCACAACCACCCATGCAAGCACAGTCACAGCACTAGGACAGATCACCCCTCAAGCCAGTCAAAGAAGCTCTGGGTTTGCAGAGGTCTTCTTCAGGAGGGGAGAAGCCACCTCGAAGCATCCCAGAGCTCAGGGCACTGCTCTGCTCATGGAGGTGCCACAGCTGGGTACCAGGAGCAGGAGACTGTCCAGGATTCCTGGAGAATACTTGCTGGAGCCTGGACTGGCTTTGGGGTGACGCAGTGGGGAAGAGGAGGAAGTGAGTGAATTATGGATGCAAGAAACACAAGCAAACTCCATGCTCATCCCAGTCAGGGTCTCTCTGCATTTCAGGAAACACAGTTTGATGTATTTGTCTGGCTCAGACTCTCAGACCGATGCCTCTCTCCCTGCCAACCATCTGCCACATCACTTTTAGTTCTCCAGGCACACACGGCCAAGAGAACATGCTTCCAGCCTTTGGCTGTCACACTGACTCTGCTCTCCTAGATTCTGATATGAAAGCTTTAATACCTCACAGAGGTCAAAAGCTTTAATACCTGACTCTGGTCCAGGCTAAGTAGGACTTGAACAAACAGCACTTGTTCTCATCAAGTCAAGAACCAGTCACAGTCACCAGCCTCTGACCAGGAGGAGGCATTTTCCCCAAAGATAGAACTAGTATCAGCTTCTCCTAAGCCTGAATTACATTCATGGTCTGAAATAGGATGCAAAAACACCCATGCACACCCTGGCTGTATCATTATTAACTCAAATGTGAAATTCTCACGAAAAACAGCAACCAAGAAAACAAAAGAATCAACAAAAACCTCACACAGCTTACCAGACCTGAGGAATAAAACTAGATGAACTGCAACATGGAACAGGTAAAAGTGCAAGACTGTCACTTCACCATGCACAGCGCTTTGATTAAGTCATCAACAAATCTGCTTTAGGGGAGAGAAATTTGGAAACATCAGGCAATCAAACTGTGAAGCCTGTGAAAGAATGATTAATGCAAAAATGGGATGAAACTAATGTGTTTGGCTCCAGAATTTCATGGCACACCCAACACTGGAACCAAATCTGATGGCTTCTTGGCGCACAGTGCCCCTCTGTGTTCCCCGAACACCGTTATCCATGTCCTCTTTGTTTTCTAGGTCTGATCAGAATCTGAAGCTTTCATTTTAACTACATTTCTAATGCTGCATTTCCCAGGATGTGTACCCATAAACAGAGACATGTACATGCATATATACTCTGAATAATTGGGCAGAATTTCATTCTTTCCTCCTGAGACACAAAAAAGCCAAGTGTCATTAAATTTATGGCGAGTTTGTTGTAGTTTTCACATAATTTTCTTGATGCACTGCAGATTTTTTAACAGGCTGCCACTTCCTCTCTTGTTTAATGTTAAGGCACTTGTTCAGTCTCAGCTACACCTTCAGCATCTTGGATTTCTGGTTCAGGTTATCAGTCCCAGGGGCAATATTCTGTTTAGCAAATATGTTGTTTTCCCTCTTCTGCTTGTCTACTGCCCTCCAGCTCTGCATGGAAAAGGAATACAGGGGCCTGCAGAGCTCAGGATGCACCAAAGGAGTGGTGCAAGCTAAGACCTTATGCTGCAGTCAGCATGAGGCTGATCTTTCACTGAAGGTTGAGACACATCAGAATGTACCTCAGGGCTGCGACCTCTAATTATAGAAAGCCAGGCATGACACAAGCATCCAACCAGGGGCAGGGCTGAGGAAGAAAAGCAGACCTGGTATTTGTTGACTCAGATGCAAGCACCTAGATTGGACATTGTGGCTCCTGCAGTTAATTTTCTCTTGCTTACAGACCCATGTTATGTTCCTAAATTTGCTTTCTTTGCAAAAAGATGTTTGTGTGCACACTGGGACATATTCTCCAGAGAAGGACGTGCAAAGTAACTGTGATGTGAAAGAAAATATACTCGAGGGCAGATGTGGAGAACTCCACAGAGTTGCCTGTTTGTTGAGCAAACTTCCTGATCACTCTGCCCATCTAAGCAGCCTTCTTTGCAGGCTGGAAAGTCTAGAGCAGCAGTAAAGGATACCCACCTTGAAACACTCAGCTCCACAGAGTCCATCTGTAAACACCAGCAACACCTTCTGATCTGACACTGAACCACACAAACATGGACCTGCCCTTGGGAGAAACCTACCTTCCAGTACTACAAAGGCTCCTTGCAACCAAGTAGGCGCCTGCAAATGGTGCTTGAAAATGCAAGACCCAGAGTGTGGAGGGGATCTTATTTTGGATAAGAGCTTTTTGGGGACAGTCTGGGCAGGTCTCATCCCAGAAGTGTTGAATATTGGGAAGAAAGAACAAGCAGGCAAATGCAAGTTGATTTTGAAGGTGACAAATTACTCCCTGCTAGGTAAGATTGATGGCAGTGAGACAAACTGTACTATAAATTAACCCTTTGTAAAGCCAAAGAGCAAAAAAGGCCTCCAGATACTCACACATCGGTTTGAGCTGTCCAATGAGCTCTTCTTTTGTCCACTTTGCCCATTCCTTCTTGTCTGTGTTTATTGAGCACAAGATGGGGCCGCACGGTTTCCCGCAGTCCTCGATGGCAGGGACGTTCAGGTAGTGCACCAACACAATGTCTGGGTTCTGCAGGGAGAGCAGAGCACAAGTTACACTGCTGGGCCTCTCCCCCTGCTCAGGGCACTCCGCATTTACCTTCCTAATAAAAACTGTGCTAGAAAGTGTCAGAATTAGATCCCAAGATGTACCACATTTCCCTGAGATCAGCGCTTTATCTTTAAACGAGGTGGCAAAAGGCAAGGGCAGTTTGCATGTGGTTTCAACCCCCACCCTTTGTGTGCGACCCCCCTGCTGCCTCTGTGTGCTCAGGGTGGGTCTTTGCTCCAACCCACAAGACACCAAGTCCTCGTGAGAGTCCTGCAGTCCTGCAAACACCAGTCTCAATCAGCACCAGGCGATTTGTTTCAGGGACCTGTGGGCTGTTGGATCCAATGCTGTCATCAGTTCTGATCCACATCAGGCTACTCTGAACATACAGAAGTTCAGTCAAGAATATCAGAAACAGCCGCATTTTCCATGTGGCAGGAGGAGGGAGGGAAGGGCAGGGGAGGTTCACAAACAGCATTACAGAGTGCCCCGTGGACAGGCTCTTCTCAGACAAGCCCAGAATTTCTTGTATTTTGGAGATCGTGCAGCTTAATGATGAAAACAGCTGCAGCAGGTCGGTACTGGAAGACAGCACGTCCTTAGCAGAGCCCCGAAAGAAGCTGGCTCCCCTCTCCCCGGCTCCTCCCGCCGGGCCCGGGGGACGCGGGGTGCGGGGACGCGGGG